ATAATCAACAGAAATAAAACAAAACTGAACAGATCCAAAATTAATTCTTTCTGCCATAATCAAACACTTTGCATGCCTTATATAAGCACAAAATTTAAGGTGAGGAAAATTAAATTAGTGCATTCTGAATGAGAGAATCTCAATTTATACCATTTTTTTCCCTGAGATTATGCAAAAATCAAAGCCATCAGGGCTGTGAAGTCAAAACAGGGCCATTCATGTGTATATTTTTAATGATAGGTCTTAGAATGACACAGAAATTGAAGTATTGGATCAGTCAACAGTTCAAATGTTTAAGCACAGTGGTTTGTAAATTCATCACTGTGCTAACTCCACTGAGGAATTAGTTTGTATCATAAACAAACTCACAGTAACCAATTTGATTTCAAGTATCACCTGTCTTTCTCTCTCTCTCTCTCTCCCTTTTTTAATATCAGCTCTTAATCTCTAGTGTTCACTAATAAAAATATTTTAATAAGAGATAATACAGTAAACTAAATGTCTATAGGTGCTTGAATCAGCTATCTCTGTCTGTGTAATTGCTAACACTTTGTTCAACCCTTTTTAAAATTGCTATTAAATCTCATTCTCATTTTCTGTATTAATAGAACAAGAATTCATGTTTAGTGTAACCTCAAAGCAGTAATGAGCATTGTTAACATGTAACAACAATGCCCAAGGGGAAAGTTTTCAAAGCGGGTCTAACCTTAAGGCTTTTGCTATTGATGTACTACAGAGTCATCAAGCTAAGAGCTGTTAGAGCTAGTCCATTTGGAGAGTTCGGCTGAATATTTCTGTTTAATATATTGGAAAAAGTATAAATGGTTTTGGTGGTGACCTAGGGAGAATAGGAAATTTTTGTTTAATAGCTGAAGAACAGAGGGGCAATTTATAAAAATAACTGTACCTCCTGCTCATTGTAAAGTGTATCATATCATGCTTTTGTTCCGATGATTTTGCTTCCATACAGATTTTCATAAGAGGTTAATGAGAAAACATTAACAAGGCATGCAATATTACATATGGGCAGGGGAGCCGAAGCATAGTTATGTAGTTATAAGCAAACAATAGATGTTACTTTTTAATTGCTTTTTCAGAAACCCAGTTCTGCCTCCTTGAAGACATATTATCTATCTTATTAAAAGCAGACTATAATCCTTGTTTATGTAGAGTAGGAAAAAAAAAAAAAAAGTTGTCTAAAGCTATAGTGCTTCATTGATTTCAACTAGTTTCAGCTAAATACCTCAGTAACAGCGAACCAGTCAACAGCCTACAGTTTGCAAGTCCTGTATGAATTGTAGTGGAGCAAAATGACTCCTTCAATGCTGGAATTTGAGACTGGGTCTTTAGGTTAGCTGTAGGTTGTGTAAGTGGTTTGAGGAGGTCCTCTTTGGTGTACATCTTGAGAGGTTCAAGAACATTGTATTGCAGCAGTGATATGCAATAACTTCATTTCACTTTTTGCAATCTTGGTTTTGTTACTGTGAAAAATAGATGGATATATTTTAGGCAGTGCTCAGGTACTTTAAGAGAGACTGATTCCTACACTGTTGAAATCCTAATGGTGAGGTAGAAATGCTCTTTTGTTTCAGTTTGATTTGTTTGTGAAATGAATGCACAGATTCTTGTCACTTAGCTGTCTTGATTCACAGCGTTTGGTCACACCAGTGCACTTTCCTTGGGTATAAGTTAAAGGTCATCATGTCCTATAGCAGTTAACTAGTAGCAGAGAAGTTCAATAATGTCAAAGATCAAAAATATTGACAGTTTAAGAAATGTTCCGCATGTTATATGTTTCTGTCTTTTCTTTTTTTAATGGTTGGAGCAATTCTAATGTTAAAAAGAAATCAGACCATTAGAGTTTTGTAAGATAGATGTTTTTTTGCTTCAGAGCTGGGCCTGATGTTGCTTTTCAGTAGAATAGTTGCTTTGTGTACTAGGAAGGGACTTCATAAGAGGCTACTCTAACAAGAGACCTTTTATAAGGTTTTATTTAATGTTTATTTTTAATTTTCTAAATCAATTAAATAGAGGTGAGATGCTGAACCTGATAGCAGGAGGACTAAGTTTGTAAAAAGCATGAATGAAGGCTTTATAGGTTTTCTTCCATGTCTCTTTCCAAATTACTCCATTCAACTCTTGTAAGAAAATCTGTCTTGAGGAATGTTCCCTTAACTGAGTACATGAAGTGATTTGAATTTCCATATATTCCACTTATCTCCTAAAAAGATAGTTTTTGTCCTGGACTGTTGCACAGGGAAATCCATCCCTCATCCCTATTCAGTCATCATCTTGTTTGTAAATGTTGTCAAAAAGGTGATTGATGGCGGTACTGGAAGGAGGAGCAACGTATTTCTCAGTGAGCTCTGGTGTTAGATGGTACTCTTGTTGTTAAGAATCTTACTATGTTATGCAACTATTTCATGTGACTTAGTTCTAATTACTCATTCTCTGGACCTCATATGAAGGCTAAAAGGTCCTTGGGATAGATATTTTCTTTATTTTTTGAAAATTCTGCCCCAGAGGCTTACAGAAATTTCTGGGAGGCTGTTCTCAATAGGTCAGACCCTGTATGGCCTATCAGTGTTTGTTCAAGGTCTCAAAGTGTCTGAACTAATGTTGTTGGTTTTACTTCTATTTCCATGCTACACTTATTGTCCGATACCTAATTTATAGATTCTCGACAAACACGAACCTTTTCTGCTTAGTAGTCATTCTACTTTCTTTTATCTTTTCTGTTTTTCCATAGTTGCCTCAATTTGTTTTGTCAACTCATGAATAGGGAGCAAAACAAAGGCAAAATCTTGATCTACTCTATCCTGACCAGAGTCTGATTATATTGAGATATTCCTAAGACATGCACCCTATTTCTTAAACAACTGTTGCCCTTCTGATATATTAATTTGTACATATTGCTGAGTTGATTTTCCTTGAACTGCCTGCTGCAGATCTCCTCTGGTTCGCACAAACCCTTGTTCCTTTCTCCCTGTTGTATTTATTCTTCTTTTGAAAGAATGAATGGATATGAACTTCCACTGATAAATACATGCATTTGAATCTGTGACTGATTTGTGGCTGGATTGTTTTTGATGACTTTTATCTGTAGTTGATTTGCATCTATTTGGCTCTGGCTGGCTGAGGGTAACATGGAATAAATGAATAAATAAATTCAAGGAAGAGGCAGGGAGAGAACAGATGAATGAAGGGTGATATGGGAGGAGAGTGAGACTAAGCAGAGAGATGGATAAATGGTGATTAAGAAGTACAGAAAAATAGGGAACAAGCAGTGATCAGAGTAGAAGAAGAGATTCAAAGGATTCAAAACTGAAAGGATTAGGAAGTCTGAAAAGAATAGAATGAGTGAAAAATAAGTAAGAACTTGGTGCCTGATTACACTTACAGGAGTAGAAATGAGATGCTATTAATTACGTGAAAGGGTTAAGATTGTTTACCAGTGAAGAGAAGAGTTTGTACAGGAAACCATGGAACAAAGTCCGGAGCAGAGATGATGTACATGCATTACTCATTTCTTCTCCGCTGAGTTGTCCTAGCCTTGGAACAGTAAATCTTCCTCATTTGATCGAGTTAAGTCTTTGCTACAGGACCTACATACTCTGAACTCACATGAGCAGTGTTTCTTTACCTTTTGCACAGTTCTATGTGGAATACTCCCATTAAGCTTATTACACTGAATCCTCATTTTCAAACTTGCTGGGATTGGTTAGTGTTCCACTGTGTCCTCCATTCTGACCTTCATTCTTTTATCAGCATATGCAATTAATTTAAAAAACAACAGCAGAACAGCTGAGCAGCACAAACAAGACGGTCTTAGAGTAGCCATATTGAAGATCTTAACGTTTTTCATGTCCACTTCCATGTTCCTGCATGTTATCTCTTGTCACATTGTATCTCAGAAACTCTGTTAGCACCTGCAGGCAGAGTGCACCACTGCTCAGTGTTACACATTACAGGTGTACTGCCCAGTACCAATAATACATAGCATAAGTCATTGAGTCTGAGGACTGAAGGTCTTTGTAGTTACATTACCTGCTCTCTCAGGTATCCAACTTCTATTTGGCTTCATGTGAATTTCTTGCTATTCACAAAGCATCAACAATTGCTGCCCACTGTGTTTTATTTTCTCCACTTTTTACTGAGAAGTCAACAGAGCTTCCAGGCATTGCCTGTTGTCTCTCTGCTTTTGACCACTGTCTGTGAAACTTTTAATGTAGAGCTTAACTTTAAACAGGTGACTGTGTTTGTAATTATTCACATGCTAATATTCAAGTAAGTGGAGTGCCTCACTGGTTTGGTTTTAAGGGAGTAAAACGTTACCATTCCGTATATATTTTCCATTTTCCACTAAAAGAGTTCTTAATCTTGACTGGGGCTTCCAATTGCTAATTGACAGCATGTAACCAACAGTATTTTTATATTTATATGTATTGGTGCTCCAGAATCCATCTGAGAGTGGACTTTTACAATAAATGCAGAACAAAATTTTGTCATTCCCAGCCCCTAACACGTTATAGCCTATGCATACAAGACAATCACAGAAATAAATGTAAAGAAATGTAAAATGGTAGCACAGTGACTGACATATTAAACATGGTGTGAATTTCACACCATGAAAATAATGCATATTATTGTTGGAGATGCTGTCACAGCTGAGGCCTCTCAGGAAAGGAGGGATTGCCCAGTGGTTCAGGCAAGGCACAAAGATTAGCTTTTGTTACTTGTTTTGAAACCCTGCACACACGTGAAAGCTGGGACACTTCTAATAGTGATGTCTGTCATTCATTCCCTGAGGAATGAATTACAAAATTTGAGATAACGATTCTTGACTTGGAATATGCCAGTATGCCAAATAAAAAAAAGTAGCCATCAGAATGTAAAGATAAAGTCTACAGTAGAAGTTTTTGGAAAATGACTTATTGATGATTTTTTTCTCTCTCTTTCTTTGTCTCTTTTTGTGTGCATGTTTGTTATTGTTTTTACAGCAGTTGTATGCTGCCCAACTTGCTGCAATGCAAGTATCTCCAGGAGGCAAGATACCTGGCATATCCCAGGGTAACCTCGGTGCTGCTGTATCGCCTACCAGCATCCACACAGACAAGAGCACAAACAGCCCTCCACCCAAAAGCAAGGTACTGTACCAGGCCCTGTGGCATAGTGTTCCGGGCAGTATTGAGACTTGCATGTACATTTTTTTCTGATTGTTCTCTGTGTGTCTCTCAGCTTTATTTTCATGATGCCTGTGTGAAATAAGAGAATAGTCTTAGTGAGTTCCCTTGCAGTACCCTAGCTATCACACTGTGATTCCCTCCATTTTTGGTAATGGATAGTGTACAGGGTGACAGGCCTCCTGTGCCAGCACACAACAGCCATTTCCTTTCAGGACTCCAAACTACAGTCAGATCAGCAATGTAGAAACCAGTAGGGTATCTCAAAGGTAGTCAGATCTTGTCCTGGGGCCCACTGGGAGTTTATGGAAGAGTAAGTCTCTGAGGCAGTGTGTGTTATGTTGCAGACTAAGCTGAGATCTGCTTAGACAGCAAAGGGGATGAATAGTCTTAGCCATAGCTGGGCAATCAGGTCTGCACTCATTTAAGAGGTCGAGTTAGCAGCTTGCAGTCACAACTGCATAACGCTGACAGTGCTTAACCAGTTGTAGTTTTAAAAAAACACCACATGCAAGGGAAGACATGCGCAGCGTACACCTCAGCTAAGCAAAAGTAACCAGTCAAAACTGAATGGCACTTCTTAGTTATTGCAAAATAGTTAGGAAGAATTTAGCTAAGGAATGCAGGGAAGAAGCACTCTCATTTGGGTGACAGCAAGAGCTTGATAAAATTTGTCCTTTCAATTTTTTACTGTCCTCTAGCACACTGTCCATGTCCTTTATCATGTCAGGAAAGATTCCTTGAATTGACAATAGTGTCTTGTTTTTTATACCCTAACAGTAAAGTAGCCCAGATTAAAAATAACCAGACAATTGCATAATACCATTGTCAGCTCAGTGAGTCCAAGGATAAAGTAGATGGTGTGGAACCAGGGGCTGTTGTGTTAAAAAAAATCAGTCTTTAGGTCAACATTTCTTCCTTTGCTCCTCTGTAGAGACTTTCTGGATTCCCGAAGTTTATCCTTGGCTTGGCCTTTTATGTTCTGTAGAGCTGGGATCACAAAGCTATGCAATGCCTGATGGTCCTTTTTTTCCTGAATGTTGTGTCTATGGTTAACGAGATTTTTGTGCATTTCACGTGGGTTTTTGTGTGTGGCTAGTGGCTTGCTAGACCCACTGCACTTAACATCCCTGTGTTGATTTTGGATCTTGTGTGCATGCAGGACTTTTGGTGAGATCTAAGGGGACACAGTATTTATTTTGTGGCAATTGTGGAATTTTAAAGCCTTCTGTATCTACGAGTAACGTCAAGCACAACCATCTTGCTGGCAGCTGTCAAGATCAGCTATGTTCTCTCTTGTGTTTTATTGCTTTCTTGTACTCCTAGGTGTCCCAGTGCCTTTGGCTTGCAGTCTTGTAGGACACAAACAAAACTTACTTGCAGATTGCTGAAAAAAAAAAAGAGTGGGCCATGAGGAAAGGAAGGGGGCTCCAAAAGGCTGTAAAATTGTGCAGCGTGAGCCCTGTGATGCATGCTGTTTTCAATCTGCTGTGTGCCAGTTGGAGGCTCAGAGAGAGAGCGAGAGAAAGAGAAAGGATAATGCTGAGAAATGATAGAGTGGCTGTGACCTCCAAGCTCAGCCTGGAAATCCAAGACATTGATTTCACTTAGCATTCCTGCTGAGAAATCCGGCGGAGTTCAGTTGTAATAAAAGAACAAGATTCTGTTCTAATGGTAATGGCGTATGACAGACATACCACTTTGTCTGTCCTCAGCACCAGAGAGAGGAGAATTGGAGAAAGGTCACCTGACCCGCCTGTGGTGTTGTGCGAATGCTGTACTGAGCTTTGAACTCCAGCCTAGAAGCACAATTATTTATAATACTAAATGATAAAGGAACCTTTATAAAGCCTACAATAATTAGAATAAAGCTTATACGACAGTGCCATGGCCTGGCTCAGAAAACACGCTGGCAAATCTCTCATAGTGGCAGAAACTGAAGCTTATATGTTGAAACTAAACACCTCTGTGTCTTTGTGGGTCTTCCTTGGCTTTTGCAGAGCATGTTAGTATTTAACATTTTCAAAAACATAATGTTTGTTCTTATTTTTTTATTAATATATTTTTTTAATCTGTTGCCAGGCCATATCTGTCTGTTCAACGGCCTTTTTTTTTTTTTTTAATTAACGCCAGCATCGACTTTGTTCACAAAGTAAGTTTGTGGTGGTCTTTTTCACTGTTACAGCATGTCAGACCTCCACAATGAACAGTTAATGCTTTAGACAAGCTCTCAATAGATGCTGTTTGCTGAATCTTTATTTTCAGCCCGCAGTTTACACTGGCGCAGCATTGGAAATACACTCAAGTGTTTGGAGACAAGGAGACAGCCTTACCTGAGAGTGTGTCAAGCTCCTGGCAAACATCTAGGTCACTCTGAAAAGCTGTGTTTTTTCCCTCTTGTATAGTGGTAAAGTTAGTATGCTGCTCTTTGCAAGGATTCTTCAAAGTCGGCTTCAGCAGCAGATGGAACAACTGCTGGCTCTAGAAATGCTGAGAAGCATCAGAGGGAGTTTGCCAAGGATCATCCTTTAAATCTAGTAAGACTTGAACACATCCCCAAAACTCCTTTAAGATCTTGGCAACTCCCATTTTGGCAAACCTTTTATCAGCAGCCCTCACCAGTGTTTGAACACTATGCTGGGCAGGCTAACCTGGCGTCTTCTGTTCTCTCACCCGCCTTTCGACAGATGTGACCTGGAATAGTCAAATTCACTTCCTAGGTTTCTGTACTGTAACTTTTAGGAAACCATAAAGCAGAGAGATGCCATTATGCCGTGCTGTACACATTCTGTCAAGTTTTGGTTAGGAAACTGAACTGGTGTCGTACATTCTTCCAAGAAGAAATCTCCGTGCCAGAAAAATTGATTTAAGAAACAGAGCTGTGGACTCCGTCCAAAAGAAAATGCGTGTGTCTTGCGGAAATGGATTTTAACACAGCTTCTTCTTGAGCAGTTTTAAAAACAGCCGGTATGCTAATCATACCATTCAAATTTACCAAGGCCTCCTCCACAACCCATTTGAAAAGCAACTATCTTTTAAGTTTGCCAAATTGTGCTGGATTTCCAAAGTCTGTCTTAAGCACATTTTGCCTTTGATCCTGTAAATGCTTGCATGCTGCTCAGCTTGGGTGTTCAAGGTGGTTGCACGCTCACAAATAAGTAGGAGATGACAGACAAAGGTGAAGATAATGACTAGGCAGGATAACTTAACTAACTCATATTGTGATGAACTTCAAGCCTCTTGCTTGAACAGAAGTACCCAAGGTGGGAGGAGGGGAGGCACTGTCATAGTAAATATGTTTATCTGAGCAGTGAGCCTTACCATGGTACCTGGATCATCGCCTAACAATTGCCATCTTCACTGAAATCAGGTGAGGTACATCATGCTCTTGAATAAGAAGAGCAATGTTACTCTCACTTGTAAACAGCCAGGGCTCTGTTCAGTCCTACTCATTTTTTTATGTTGCAGGTATAAATATAGCATCCTAGTGCCTGTGCGATGTACTGTCCTAGCCCTTTCCGTGTAGCCTCTCAAGTACAGTATTTCAGGAGTGAATTTTCAGTGTAGCTCATAAATGTAGCTAAATGATTCCCAGTACTTCATAGAGCACAGTGCATTGTCTGTAGCATCTGCTGAAAAAAGGAGCACTTCAGTGTGAAATGCGACAGGAGAGAATTCCTGGGCAAATTTCTTTTAACCTCGTTATGACCTCAACCCTAACCTTACTCACAGTTGTGTCTCCATCAGTGGCAACAACACATGGATTGTCCAAATCAATTTTTTTGTTCTTTTCAAATACTTCTGGCAGTGATGTTACTATTTGCTCAGCAGTAGCACCTGGGAGTTGTGACAAGGAAAGGAAATGGGTTTCAGTCAAGCCAGAAACAGCACTACGCAGTTGGATATACACAGTCAGATTCTACTCAGCTGCAATATCCAGACAAATATCAGTATGAATAATTAATTGAAGATGGTTTATTGTCATATTATTTTATATAAATAAACACTGGATTGAAAAGTTTTCATGTCACCTGTAGTCAGCAGTAGAATCTCATTTGAAAGACTTGGAGCTTGCCTCTATACCACAGGACAGATTGGCTCTAAAATGTCCAGAGATTCTCTAGGGGAAGTTCTTCCAATTTGAGGAATATCTTGTGACATTTTCTGCCACATGCATCAGCTGTGTCTTGCATCCTTCTTGTAGTGTAGGAAGGACAGAAAGGGATGAGCAGCATGTTTGCTCATTTCTTACCAGTCACGGTAAGCCTGAATGTAAAACTTCAGCTGAGTCACTGTTGATTTGATTACCAGCTATAGGTCACTCTGAAAGTAATGCCTCCTAGTTCACTTCTGTGGAAATTAAAACAGATGCAAAGAGCACATTACCATTATTTGATAGAGCAAAATAGTGTGAAAACACTATTTGTCAACATAGTCACCACTATTAAATATATATTTTCACCAGAGATGAAAAGGAGTCTGCATGCCTTGCTTATAAAAGTCTGTCTGGCCATCCAGAATGTAGCTTGTCTTTCATGTTGTTGTCATGTTGTCTGGAGAAGAGGAGGCTCAGAGGAGACCTTGTAACACTCTACAACTTCCTGAAGGGAGGTTGTGGTGAAGAGGGATTTGGCCTCTTCGCCCAGGCAACAAACAGGACTCGAGGAAATGGCCTCAAGTTGTTCCAGAGGAGGTTTAGGTTAGACATGAAGAAGAACTTTTTCTCTCAGAGAGTGGTCAGGCACTGGAATGGCTGCCCAGGGAGGCGGTGGAGTCACAGTCCCAGGCAGTGTTTAAGAGGCGTCTGGGTGAGGAGCCACGAGATATGGGTTAGTGCTTGTGGTAGCAATGGTGATGGGAGGACGGTTGGACTGGATGATCTTGCAGATCCTTTCCAACCTTGCAATTCTATGATTCTGTGATTCATCACTGCTGAAGCACATCAGCCATCATCCACTGTTTGA